GGCTGATCCTCAGCAAGGGAGATAGCCATATTACATATATTTTTAAATTGGTCTGAACCTTGTTCCTGGGATGGCAAACGGGAAATGTCATTCTACATGTAGTAGGGGAGGATCACTTAAAATTTACCATAGTTGTTCATTGCTGTTTCCACTAGAGAAGGCATTTCAGGGGTCTGTGGGCTCAAAGCAAACTGAGTGCCTAAGGCAGAGGAGCCACATTATTTACGTAAAGTAAAAAAGAAATAAAGTTGACTTTGTAGCATGCAACATGTTGGCTACCCCTGGGTACAGTGTGCTACTGCCAGTAAAATCACGCCCTACTTGTTACTCTTGCCTTATATATGCATTGTCACCCAGGTGTGGAGAACTGATCCATCCATTCTCTGAGGGAGGGCAGGGCAAGTTGCCTCAGTTATGCACACTTACTTACTGTAGAGCCACCTATCAATCTGAGATAATACTCATAGCAAAGAATAATAGCAGCTTCTGCTTGGTAAATAGTTGGGTGTCAGAAACTTCCATAAAATTGCATGGTGCCAGAAAACTATCCTGCTTTTGCTAAACAGAGCACTGTGAATATTTAAGTCCCAGTGAAATACTTAGTAATGTCACAGAAGTCAAGGTGAACAGGACATGGACACCTGCCAAAGGTGCATTATCACCTTTGCAGCAGCTGACTTTGGAGTAGGTGGTTGTGGAGGACAGGAAACTAACTGCATATTAACCACATGCTTATCAAAAAAAAGAATAGCTGTACCTGTGTACAACTTGATTGTTACTTGGCCAGGTTAGTCATTCTTCACCATACATCCTATAAATTTCATAGGCACACATTCCCAGTGGTAATGCTGGTATGCAACAGGAAGGAATACTTTGCATGGTAAAAGTTACTTCCTTGGAGGATAGGAAATGTGCATACTGCTGAGGAGAAAAATCATGGCCATCATTCCCTTGCCTATCTAACTAGCCTCTAGCAGTGAAACCTGAGTTACATACAAGCCATCTTGAACTCTGTCTGCAACATTTTGGGCACAGAGAACCTAGAGGAAACAAGCTAGAGGAACTGGCCCTCCCACTAAGCAAAAAGCAACATGATCTCATAGGGATTAGGGAGACCTGCGGGACTCCACCTGTGACTAGACCACAAGCATGGGGGATATACCCTGTATAGGGGGGATTGTGTTGGGAAGAAAGGCGAAGCAGTTGCTCTCTATGTGAAGGAACATTACACCTCCTTAGAAGTGAAGATTGGGAACAAAGAAGGGTGACTTGAGACCCCCTGGGTCAAGATACGGGGAGAACACAGGGAAGGGGATTTGACCGTAGGAGTTACAGACAGAGCCATCCTTAGGAGTGTGCGGGACCCAGAGCATATCAGCCTGCGCAGGGCCCAGGAGTGAGGTGCATAGGTGGAGGAAGAAAAAATAAATTTGCGGGGGCTGAACTCCCGCCCCCCCACCATTGAGAAGTCTGTGGGGGGAGGAGAAAGGGCCATGGGGGAAGGGGGTGGAAGCAGCATTGCCCAGTGCCATGCCAGTCCTGGCTGCACCAGCCCTGGCCCCAGCCCTGGCTCCAGCCCTGGCTGCATCCTGGCCCTGGCCACACCAGTCCCAGCCCTGGTTCCGGCTGGCTCCCTGCACCAGACCCAGCTGCGCACTGCCGGGGTGGGGGCCCAGAGTCAGGGGCTGGAGCAGGGCCAGCCTTGGCTGCACCGCTGGGCTGGAGGGCTCCTTGCCTCCATGCCTCCCTGCTGCCGCGGCTTTGAAAGCAGCGGGCGCCATCATGTATGTCCCATCACTGGGTTAGCAGGGCAGCAAGGCACATGGTGCCGCACCTGCGGCCCGCTTGCCCTGTGCAAAGATCGGGGGCCACATGCTCCCCTGCCCCCTTGGCTGCCTGGCACCACGCTTCTGGAGGGGCCACCGGGCTCAGACTGTCCCATGACCTGGCCCTGTTGGAGCCCAATTCCCCATAACTAGGGCCCCGGCCAAGCCGGTTGTGGGACAGTCAGAGCCCAGTGGCTTGTCCACGGGGGGGCCCAGGGAAGTCAGGAGTGGGGGTAGAACTCCCACCTCCCCTTGGCTCCCCACGGTGCATGCAGCAGTGGGAGACGCCCGCCTGTGACCCTGGATGAACCGCCAGGCTCCAACGGTTCCACAACCTGGCCCGGCCAAGGCCCCAGTCACGGTGAATGGGGCCCTGGCCAGACCAGGTTGTGGGACAATCCCGATTGTGCTGCAGGGAGGGGGCAGGGGTGAATGATTCACCCTTCCCCTACCCCACTCTCCCCCTCACTGTGGGGGTCTTGATCTGCTCACCTCCTTCCCCAAGCCCAGGGTGATAAAGAAGATTGAAAGAAACTTACCTGCCTGCGTGCAGCTGGGCCAGCTGTGGTACTGGCTGTGAGTGAAGGGTAGCTGAGCATCCCACCCCTCCCCACCACTGCAGGAGCCTGCGCACAGCATAGGGCTATGCCTGCTGCTGCCCTCCATTTGGGGTGGCTGAGCCCCGCTATCCCCCACTTCCACCACCAATGGTCCATGGTGGCTATGGCAGGGCCTGCATGGCACTGTCCATGGGGCCTGGGGCAGTCGCCCCGATTTGCCCGCCCTGGGACGGCCCTGATGACAGACGTCCAAACCAAGAGGAACGGGTCGATCAGGAATTCTCTGGAGAACTGGCAGAGGCTGCATGTTCTCGGAGCATGGTCATCATGGAGTGACTTCAATTACCCAGACATCTTTTGGGATGAGCCCTCAGTCAGATCTGATCACTCACGAAGCTTCCTCGCTTGTGTTGAGGAGCTCTATCTAACTCAAGAAGCCTATGGACCAACCAGGGGCAAGGCACTCCTAAACTTGGTTCTGGCCAAAGGGAACAAACTAGTGAGCAACCTGAAGATTGAAGGGAAACTGGGCAACAGTGACCATGAGATGATCACTTTCTCCATCCACTCTAAGTCAGGGAAATTAGCCAGTAGGAAAGAAATCCTTGATTTTAGGAAAGCTAACTTCCACAAGCTTAGGAGTTTGGTTGGTGAGGCCTTGTGGGGCCATGGTCTGATGAGGAAGGGAGTACAAGTAGAGTGGTCATTCTTCAAGGAAGCTATCCTAAAAGTTCAAAGGAAGTCCATTCCCTTTCATAAGAAAGGCAGCAAAACAGCTGGGAGACCCTCCTGGCTCAATAAGGAAGTCATGGACCTCCTGAAATTAAAATGAGAAGCCTACAAGTGATGGAAGTTAGAAATAACTACCCATGAGTACTCAGCAAAAGCCCACACCTGTAGGTAGCGGACCAGGACAGCAGAAGTACAAGCCAAATACAAATTGGCAACCAGAATCAAGGACAACAAAAAGTCTTTCTTTAGATACATAGAAAGTTGGAGAAAAAAAATAAGGGAGGCATAGGGTCCCTGATGAATGAAATGGGATGGCTGATAACCTACACTTAGGACAAAACTGAATTCCTAAATGAATACTTCACATAGGTATTTAACCAGTCCAAGGATGTTAGCCTGCTTGACAGGATATAGGATGATTATGGTGGGGGTTACCACCCTCCCATATTTGGTGTAGATCTTGTGGGGGAGCACCTACAAAGGCTAAATATCTACAAGTCACCAGGGCCAAATGAACTACACCCAAGAGTGATAAAAGAACTGGCTGACGCCATCATGCGACCTATGGCTAAGTTATTTGAAGACTTGTGGTGCTCAGAACAGGCTGTCCCCCAGAAGTGGTACAATCACCCACCCTGGTGATCTTCAAATAGTGTCTTGATGCCTACTAGGGCTATGCAAAGCTTTGGTCGCTGATTCAATTTGGCAGAGATTTGGCCTGATTCGATGGCCGAATCTGTGAATCCGAATTGAATCAGGAGACCCTTTAATCTGTCGGAATCAAATCGGAACCCTCCAAATCGATTCGGAGAGATTCAGCAATTCGGACATAGACACAGCTTTAAATGTTTTTTCTACATACCTCAAGGTACCAGGCAGCTCATCAACACTGCAATGGTGGGGTTGATGTAGCATCCCACAGGAGCACGGGGGGCTCCCCAGAGCGCTCAGCAGCAGACCCGGAATTGGACCAAAAGCACTTCCAATCCACTAGGGAGCATGCAGGGGCCCCTCCGCACCCTTCTCTAGCTTGGTGACTGGTGCCTCCTGGGTCTGGGGTGGCACCCAGGGTCCCCCTGTGGCTGATCGCTGAGCCAAAGGGGCATGGTGGGGGGGGCCAGCAGACACAGAAGCAGTCTTCACTGAGCATGCCCCCCCCGCACTACTGTGGGACGCTCCATTCGCCCCAGCATTGCAGTGTTCAGAAGCTGCCTCATAGTACCTTGAGGTATGTAGAAAAAACATTTAAAGCTGTGTCTATGGCTGAATTGCTGATTCTGCAGCATTGAATCTTCAGATTCAGCTGAATGAAATCAGGGACAGCGATCCGAATCAATGAATCAAATCACTGTCCCCGATTTGGGCCAAATCCGAATCGAATAGGGCCCGTTTCACATACCCCTAATGCCTACCTTGCTGGGGTCATCTGATCCCTGCAGTCTTTCCTGCCCCCAGTGCAGGGGGGCTGAACCTGATGATCTGTAAAGTCCCTTCCAGCCCCAACATCTATGAAACTATGGAACATTCTTCCCCCTTCCAAGAAAGAAAAGTTACTATGTGCATAAATTTCACCAGTGTCTACTGTTGTTTGTCTCTTTACAAATGCTACTGATCGCAAATTCAATCTAGACTCCTTACTGTAGCCTTTGCTCATCTATTAAAAAAATTCTACTCTTCTACCTTGTCTTTATTTGGAGCATCTCATTTGTTAGAGATGAGGAGGTTTCCACAAATATAGAGGATAGAAGTGAGATTATATTAGTCTCGAAATGGCCAAGCAAAATATTAGCATTTGAAAAGCCACTGCACTTCCACAACACCATACACTTGGAATCCAGCCCCAAGAGCTCAAATGCCACCTGTTTGTTTGTTTGTTTTTTACCTTGTCTGGATCTACTGTTTTACATCTAGGATCCATCCAATGGTTCGTTGTCTGATTTATGGTGTCCACCGGTCTCTCCCTCTCCAGGAGGCTCTGAAGACAGAAAACAAAGAAAGATGAATCCAGCTGATCTCTAGTGGTGCGGACACACATAACAATTGAACTGTTCTTAAATGTCACTGACTGGGAACAACACAATTTTCACAGGCCAGAGGTGTACATGCATACAGTGCCCTAGCATTCCAGGTAGAACAGTTACCTTTTAGGTGTTCAAGTACTGTGGCTCCAACACCAGGGAGTTGTGAGCAAGTAACACAGCCCAGCATGCCTCACAGTGGGTAAGTTTGGGTCACTCACCCCACTTAGAAAATACCAGGGGGTGAGTGACCAGTGGCTGAGGGCATTTTAATTTTTCTGTTCTCTCTTCCCTCCTAAAGATGAATTTACAGTATTTACTTGAAACCTCTAAGGTGAGCTTTCTTTCCCCATTTAACATGTCTTAGAATTGAGTACAAGGGTGGTAAGGGGGGCAGGTGGCTACTGTTGCTCAGGTTCCAGTCCCTACTCAGGGTCGGGGACATAGGTATTGCTGTTGTCTGCCCCCCCCAACCCCCCCGCAACCTACAATCTCCACCTTGCAGTAGCCTCTGCTCCCCTGCCTCCCCATCTCCCCCTCTCTCCCCTCCCCACCACATGGCTGCTGTGTGGGGCTGGGCTGGGACCACATTCAGTGTCCCAGGCTAGAACAGGGACAGAACCTGCTGGTGCAGAGCAAGAGTAAAGTGGGGTGGGGGAGAGCAGAAGCAGAGGGAAAAGGGTCGATACCTGTCCCCCTACAACAGTGGGGGGATGAATTAATAAAGATGACTCTCCAATAATTAGATTCTATACATGAAAAATCATAATATTTATAAATGTTATATGTATAGAATCAAATTATTATGGGGTGACCTTAAAATTCAGGGTCATCTTAGATTTCAGTAAATATGGTATTAAAGCTTCAATAGCCTGCAGTTGACAAGTCTGCAGGGTGCTTGCCTGACTTGGTATAGAGAGCTTGGAGTCAGAGCTGGACTTAGGGGTAGGTGATGTGGGCAACCACCCAGGGCTCCATGGTCAGAGGTTGCCCCACACACACACAGCAGCACCTAGCCCCACAAGTCAGCGGTGCTGTTGCAGACAGAGCAGGAGGGCAGGGGAACGGTGCGCAATTTGGTGGGGAGGCAGAGTCACCTGCACTGCCCAGCCCACCAACCCGCCTCCAGCCACTGCTCAGGAGCGGGGCCAGGCAGTGCATCCATGCTGTATGGGCTTACTTTGTCAGCTATGTGTTTTAGTTGTATTGCTAACATTTGAATATAAGCCCATTAGAGAGGATTCTTACACAGTTGCCACACCAGATTTCCTGTGTGTTGGGAAAGCACTGCTTTAGTGGAACTTACCCAACAGCATAAAACAGTACGATTCTAGACTAGCGGAAAGATTCTTGGGAGTGACATATATTTTTTTAAAATCTGCCGAGTCACTGTCTGATACCCCAGGTTGAACACAAGTTCGCACGCGGGAAAAGCCCAGGACTAATGGCTTTGGTAAATGTGGTGTTTTCATGCTTTTAAAAGTTAGCCATTTAAGAGAAGCCAGATTTTCAGGAAATATATGTCTGGTACCTTTTGAAAGTAGTCTTCTTAAGGCATCTCAGAAGCCGAGCTCAGACAAACCAAGATGCAAACAAACTTCCCAATCTGCCTCCTTAATTGTCTGGAGAAATCTTTAGAAAACGGACTTTTGACCGTGTGGCAAAAGCATCCTCAAACCTTCAGAGGGCAGCAGGCTGTGTTTTGAACATGCTAACTGAAGAAGTACAGCATCACCTTCTACTTATTAGGTACAATTTCACTGTGCAAAAGAAAAATATTCCTAACTCGACCTGGACAGAATGCTGGTTACTTGGGCCTAAAGAGTTGGCAGTTTTGAATGTTTTTTTCCCCCCACAATTCCAAGAAAGAAGATTTAAACTAACAAAAAAAAAAAAAAGAGGGGGGATGGGGTGCATTTGAGAAGCATCAAAAATGTTTTAACAGGTTCAAAACGATGATATTTGTGTAAGAAACTTGTAGTAGAAGGGCTGAGTCTCTGCTTTCTAGGAGTTAGCTGGCCCAGCTGGCTTCTAAAAGAGCCCTTGTTTGGCCACCTCATTGGCTTTGTCTCCTCTCCTTATTTCAAAGGACCATCCTAGCACTTGACTTTGAAAACACCAAGATTCAGGTCTACAAGCAGCTCCCAACCCATTTGCATCTCCTTGCCTTTTCTCCTGCTACCTTCCCTGTTTCCTGGTTCCAGTCTCCTGACCCTGCCTTTTATCCCAACTTCCTGACTTCAGTTCCTGCTGTTGGCTGGTCTCTCTACTTCCTATATTAGCACCTGACTTCACTTTCCTCTTGGTTTCCAGTTTTTGGCTCTAGAACACTGGCTTCACGTGTTGACCTGCAGTTCCTGCCCTCAGTCCAAGTATCTCAGACTCTCCTCTTGACTTGCCACTCTAGCTACTGACTCAGGAACTACTGCCTGCCCTTCAATGGATTTCTGCTTTAGCCATTAAACCAAACTACTCTAGTAAAAAAAACAGTGACAAAAATAGAACATGGTCAGCAAAAAAAAAAATGTTTATTTCAGCGACCCATCCTTCTCCAATGACGACATCACAGAAAAAAATCCTTATCAGCCCAATTTTTACAAAGTACACTACCAGTCTTGCAAACTAGCCACCGCCTAGAAACATCTTTCAAGAATGAAAATGCTCCCCACCCACCATTTCAGTTCTGCAAGTTGGAATTCCTACGTCTTGTAGAAGTGTAACATTCTTTGCGTGCATTCCAACAGCAAAAGTGGGATGCTGCTGGATTATAGACAGAAAGGCATTTGTGTCATTACTGTAACAGGGTGTCAACACAGAAGAGAAGATGAATAAAGAGAACCATTATGAATAGAATGCATAAGTTTCTAAGAAACCCAAAAAGTTAAGTAGCAAAAAAAACAATATACCCCCCCCCCCCCCCCCCCCCAAAACAAACAAACCCCAAAGGAAAGAGAACTGGATTGGGCACTTATGATAACAAGAGCAGCTTCTTTTGTCTACCTTTTCCCCACCCCAGCCATATCTGCTTAAGGATTTACAGCTGTGTGAATACTGAAAATACACATTAGACTGCAAACTTGGTGGCTAAGTAGACAGCAATGAAAACAGCTGATTCCAAACTGCCTCCTGTAATCAAACTTAAACACACTAAGGCACCCTTGGGGGTTACAAGAAATAATGACCACAAGCTAGCAGAGAGCAGATTTAGACTGGACATTAGGAAGAACTTCTTCACAGTTAGAGTGGCCAAAATCTGGAATGGGCTCCCAAGGGAGGTGGTGCTCTCCCCTACCCTGGAGGTCTTCAAGAGGAGGTTAGATAGGCATCTGGCTGGGGTCATCTGAACCCAGCACACTTTCCTGCCTATTCAGGGGGGCAGACTCGATGGTTTATTGAGGTCCCTTCTGACCCTAACATTTATGAATCTATGAAAACCTTCAATCCACCAGTCATGTACTTAGCGTAATACCATTACTAAAACCAACTTGAGTGTACTGCTGATATAGCCACAAAACACCTCTAATTTATTTATTTTTAATGAGAACAAGCCTAAGGTTGTCCCCCAAGACCCAATGATGAAAGAAATGCACCACTGTAATATCACCAAAAGTTGGCCAGTAACTCCCAACACAAACAAGAAGGCATCACTCACAATCCTTGCTGGCCAGATGTCCAGCAGATCCCAGCAGCAACGGGCTAATATGTTGTCAACCTCAGATCCTGTTATATGAACTACAGTGATGTTTATACAGTTTAATGTCTGTATGAAAAAAATAGCATCTCTAAAAGCGGTCTCTGCTTTGCAACATATATATCCAATTTGCCACCATGCCACCTACACAGCACCTATACAATAGCAACTAGTTGTACTGTCAGAAACTTGATTTAGCCAGGGGAGAAGGTATACAGGGTACTGTTTGAAGTAGGGCGGAATTAAGGCTGAGGCAGAACTCTCCGATTGTCAGGCCAGGCCTCCCTTGGTCTGCTATCTGGTACCATGGAAACCAGCACAGCCTGTTCCACAGTTGTGTTGTCGGTGACTAAACCAGCACCCTGACCTGGGTTAGCCTGGGTGAGGAGGGTGTGTGGACACCCAGAAGGACTAAAAACAAGACCTATCAAAGGGCGGATGAGCTCCCTGCAAGCCAACAGTCATCAATACCTGGAGAGGAGATGGGTGCCACCAGGTCAGTTTGCCTGAAGAACCACCAATGATGCAAAGCAACTCAGCTGACCTCATGCGGAGTAGAGGGGGCTTGTTAGAGCATCTAAGGTGCTCCAATGGTTGCAGCTGCCTCAGGACTGACTTGTCTAGAACTCTCTGCTCCACACACCAGAGTATTTATAAAGTGTTCCCCTCTGAAGTTTAAACTTAGGTTTTGATTCATATATTACACCTACATAGGAAACTCAGTCTTGGTTTTAAACATTTTCCTACTTATTTCTTCCCCATTTGTTTATAAATTATAAGTAACTATAGCCAGACAGAAGAACTTGAGACTAGGAATTCTTGCCTGAAGACTTTTATAGCAGCAAACCCAATTAGATGTCACAAAGAACAAGTCCTCGTCACATACATTAGTCTGGAGGAGACAGGAAAGAAATGTGGAAATGTGGATGTCAGCTAGATGTGAGTTAGAGTCCTGACAAGAATGTGTCAAAAATCTAATCAGGATCAGCAAAGTTGTCACTATCTTTGAGAGGCCTAAGCTTACGGTGCATATAGCATGTATAATTTATAAGCTTATAGTGTATAACTAAAACTTAAATGCTTACCTCATGCTACTCATGAATGCTTAAATGCTTACCTCATGAATATTAAAATAAGTTCTCCAACAGAATTAAAAACTACCATGAGTGACATTTACCCACCTGCATGATTTCTACTATTCAATGCTTCAATCTACTTGTATCAGAAGATACACACACAAAAAATGGCAAAAATATCTGCCCCAAT